ACACACGCGATCGAAAGGGTAAAGCGAACAACACTGTAACCTTACACTGTGCTCCGGCAGTATGATTCCCTTTAGCAGCGAAAGCAGCCTGATAAAAGCTTACGGGATCGATAGATTCGCACCACTGCCGAGCCATTAATAGGGCGAAACGCGCGTCTGATGTTTTCCGGACTGGTAGCTTACCTATGCGGGTTGGAATCTAATTGCGATGAACCAAATCGAAGCTTAAGGGTTTGTTGGAAGCCAGTCATAAGGCGACAACAGCTTTCGTGGCGATGGCAATACGGCACTCATCGACCGGTCATTACATACGGACAGGTTGTTTGTCCCCATTGCTAACACAGCGACCCACCGACTACTTAGCAGGGAACCCTTTTGCAGGTTTTTTTCATCTGCATGAAGGTCTACCGATCGATCCAAGCATGAGACGTTCAGCGCGGCTGTGTTGTTTGGCTAACGTCTGTTTTTCACAGCCGAACGGCCTGCGTTCCGTTGTTGCCCTGCGGTCGAGGCATGGCACATTCATTGCGTCTGTCGTGTCTGGCAAACGTTCAGTTCTCACAGCCGAACGGCTCGGTGTGCTCTGCGACCATAGACACATGTCGCGCCTCTATGCCCCATCTCACCCCTGCTGGCAAAGCAATTTGTGCCATTGGACAGTTAGCAATTCAGCGTACCGAGGTACCTCAGCACCTGAGTGCAGCTGCCGCTAGCTTCGGACATGATTCATAAAACAGCCTGTAGTGGTTACTGGAATCCAAGAACTTTTAGCTATTTCCTTCTTTCATGAAGTATATCCTTTACTTATACGTACTGTTTGTCAGATTTTATCAAAGACCTTTTTCTTCTGATCAGGAAAATTTGGCCGGTACATTTTGCGCAATAACAGTAGGTTATTCGTACGATCAGCGGGAATCACAACAGAAATCTAGTATGTTATCGATAACCGCCGTTTCACTGTCAGCCGCGATGGCCGCCACCGACTGACAACAAAACACAGTACACAGGAAAGTTGTTACTTCCGCACAACCACTAATGGACTTGTCGAGTAACGAAAGCATTTCTGGTTTGTTGGGACGATTTTAGCTCCGAGTTTGGCAGATGGCTCACGTAATTTCCTCACCTTCTTTCACATCATTCTGGCGGATTCACAGAACTGCAACTTAGTATCACTCAGTGGAGTATTCAGCAGTCTCACTTTGATCCGCTGCAACTGGCTCGGTGCTGCAGATTACTTGCCAAGACTGTTGTGTGCATCGTAACCCTTCGGAACGCCATCTGCCTTCATGGACAAACTCATCTTTCAGTCAAGAGTGGTGACTGCAGTGATTGCAGTCTGGCAATGAACCATGCGCTGTCCATTCTCAAGATGGCCAGATAGTTTTACCGGCGTCTGCGACACCTGGCACACAAAAGAAGCAAGCTTTTGCTTGCTGACGGCGTTGCGTACTTCTCGGAATTTTCGGCGGTACTGAGCTGGTGGAACCAGCATTTTCATACTTTACACTGCATGCCACCAGGTTCCTCTGACAATTGTACATCACAGCTTGCCCCGCCACAAATTGCGCTAGACTTATGGATCTCAAAACCGTGACTACAGTAGTGTAGTCGAAAATACAAGAATTGGAAAACGGCGATCAAGAATAATACTGCACACAGAGGCGGACAGCTGTTGTCTGCAAACTAGTAAACGAAAACAGCAATCAGGTAGATAGTGATGCAACACAGAGGAAACAAAACAAAACTTTGCTTGGATACTTTTTATAGGGTACTACTTCATCCAGATAAATATCAATACAATATTTACTGGACCAGCAAAGTTGACCAAAGCCAAGCTTCATCCAGTGTTGCAAGCACCGTTTTCATTCAATAAAACCTCTAATGAATATCACGGCGAAGAGTTCGATTTTTCCCACAGTACATGCAAAGTGGCGATTTAATTTTGGAAATGAAAATCCGAAATGTTATCGCGTGAATAGAGATTTTACAAAAAAGGAGAGAATGATGAGTAGTAGCGAGGATTTTGGTATAATTCAGCTAATTCATCATTGTCACTCCTAATCAGCAGGCTTAGACTAGTCTGGAAAGCACCAGACGCCGGCAGGAGTCCGCTGGGAGACGCACCACTGACGAGACTTAAAAGGTCGAAACGCCGGCTTCTGGTACTCGTCTAGACTAGCCTAAGATTGCTGATTGGGAGTGACAATGGTGAATTAGCTGAAACAGAAGGAGTGGCCTACTTGTTCGATTGCGAGCAAATAAACTAGAGTCCGTGTACCAAATTCAGGGGCACACTGTCTTTCAGTAGCTACCGCCTTCTACCCCGGCGACCCTGCTCAGCTGGACAACAAACACAGGACAATTTTCGGTCACTTTATTAACACTTTTTCACTGCTTTTGGCCGGCCCACCTTAGCGCTGACTCCACGAGGCCTAGTGTTTGTTTCCTCTGTGCCTCCAGATTTTCGGTAGATCAGTGTTCGGAAAGTTTCCTGGGCAACATGGGTGCACAGATTCAACCACCAACCCAGTGTTTTAGTATGGCATATTTCCAAGCGCCAACTAGTTGACCTCATTAGTATGCCACCATTTCTTATGTTTTAGTCGCAAATTTAAAGACAAGGGAATATATGTGAGTCGTAACGTGCATTACTTGGCAAACTCACATGCGGCCTTTCACACTTTGGTGTCGTGACTGGGATAAAAAATACCTTGTATCAGCGATTCATTCAAAGTACCTTAACGTTATAACCAGGCGAGAACAACTGGATGAGAAATGACATTGAAGCCAAGCAAGATGATTATAGTAGGTCGCATCTTTGCAGGATGCCATTTCCTTGCCTGGCAGGTTATAACTCATTTTACGTATGATTGGAGGGTCATTTTGAAGTACTCGTTTGCTTAGATTTCGACGCACAATCAATGTGAAAGTTGCTACAGTCAGTCATTAGCCGTTGTGACAAGCGTTGCCCATCGTCACCCGGTGATTACATGGGTAGAAGTCCCACCTAGCAATCCAATGGTCCCGGGTTCGAGGCCTTCGATCTTTGCCTGATGAGATCAAACAAGGTCGAAACGCGCAGTGGAGTACAATGTTTTTGGGCGGGCAGCACCCAATTTTCATATGATCAGTATGGTTTTTTGCTGAGGTGGACACCGGCCTAACCTTCGTTATGTCCTCCTCTCTGCACCACAGAACTTTCACGCACTAGTAATGCGGCTGAGGCACACTATATTTTCACCAGACATCATCCATCCAAAATAGCAGCTACCGCATCAACTTGACTAGATGCCTCCGTTACAATCGAGCAGAGTGACTTAGTCGACGACTAGCAATTCCACGCTTTCCAGTGACTGAATGGGGCTTTTCCATTACCAACTTTTTGACATTAAAGCTTCATTTAATATTGGGTTCCGTCAAAAGCGAAAAGTCAGCATCCGATACTAACTAAATCGATTCGGGAAGCAATGATACACCGGGTTGAACTGCTCTTCGAAGTACGGCAGACAACCCTTACCTACTTATCGGGATCATCTTCCGCATTTTCGTGTAACTTTTCTGAACTTCAGAGATACATTCGCTATTCCGTCACCCCAGATTAGGCAGTTTTCATTGCTTCGACGTACATTGGAGATAGCTTCACTTTACCATTCACCTCTTTCGGCTTGATTTCTTTCCTGGATACTACCGTCTGGTTAGCTGTGATTTGAAGTGCACAGGAAGTAACTCCACGAGATTACCCACCTAGACACGGTCTGAATCCAGGTGTTTGCTCCAAACTAACTTAGATTTTCACACTAACTTGCGCAACTTTTAGGTTAAGTTAGGTTGCCGTTTTGTCTGAGAGGTACCGATTAAACCTATTCGGACTCCTGTTTTAGAGAGTCTTGCCTCCGGTGTATAAACTTTTGTCGGTACTCAGAGCAATCAATCACCATCCTATGTACAATGATCGTTAACTCTAGACCAGTAGTCTGAATGTTATTTAACTTCCGATGAGTGTCTAATTGAGTATTCCTGTCTATTACAATGATCGCCTCATCAATATTCCTGTCCGTACGGATGGGGTGCGAGTTATGGATGGAGTCCATCTTTATGGACGTATCAGCTGCTGTCAACGAGAACCTGTACCAACGCAATGCAGTTACTGATTCTCTGAAATTAAACCACATACTTGCTACTATTCGTTGTGATCTGTTCATTAAGATTGGTCTCAGCGTTTCCTCTCACTACACACTTATACCCCAGCTCTTATGACCCTTTAGCTTGGTGTCAGCGTCAAGGAATGTAGCCATGATTACTAGACGGAACCAACTAATTGGCGGTTAGTTAAACTATGGCCGCCTTCTACTCCTATTTCTTTGATAGTATGCGTCTATTCCAAATAGGCGTGGGCCGACAACCAATGCTATCCACCGACGCATCTGAAAAACTACTACTAACATCGAACGAATTATATGAGCAGCTACTTCGCTGCACTCTGTACGGTATGTAAAATCACGGATGATTTTTTTAATATTAATTGTTCTTGTACAAAGAGTTTGCGGAAAGATAAACCCGCCTCTCAGAGGTGTTTTGTCCAAAAGCCCTAATCTGTTGCTCCATTGTTCTCCCTACTTTCATTCGAATGGTTTCAGTGACCTTCCAGAAGTGCTTCAACTTTTTAAAATCTTGGAAGATACATGAATTCGATAGAGAAGTCATGAGTTCAGAGAGCTTAGGCAACAATCGTTTTGTGTATTTATTGGGAAACATTTCGCTTTTGACTCAAGAACTTCGTCAGGCCAGGTGAATCAGTATACAATTAGCCTGACGAAGCTTTTGCGTGAAAAGCGAAACGTTGTCCAACAAACACATCAACCGATTGTTTCCAAACTTCTCTGAACTCATACTTTTACCTTCCATTTACTAAACGATCTGTTAGTTTGCTATGAAGTGTCCTCCAACATTCCCCACAGTTTTCACAGCCACCTCGATATTTGCTTTTTATTTCGGTTTAGCACATTCAAGGCATTGCCGATACAGGCGCTAAAGTAATCGTGAGTGGTGGAAAGGTCGGCGAGCTAGCTTTGCACTACGCCAATAAATTCGGCCTTATGGTCGTCCGGTTAAGCAGCAAGTTTGATGTCCGTCGTCTCTGCCAAGCTACCGGAGCCACCGCTTTGCCTCGTCTGACAGTTCCTACTGCCGAGGAGCTGGGTTATGTGACGCACGTTCGCACAGACGAAATTGCCAACGCACGTGTCGTCATATTTGAGCAAGGTTGGTTCCCGTGCTGATTTGCTACCTGAATGCAATCTCTTTTGACTATGCCATTTATTTTTGTGCTTTAGATTTTTGCACTTTCATTGCTGTGCCACCTTTTAAGTGTTACATTTTTCTCATATCCTTTCAGATGCCCACGAAGGTTCAGTTGTAACAATTCTCGTACGCGGAAGTACCGATAACATAATGGATGATGTAGAACGCGCCGTTGATGACGGTGTCAACACTTTCAAATGCCTGACGCGAAGTCCAAAACTTGTCGCCGGTGCAGGTGCTGTGGAAATCGAGCTTGCTCGCCGCCTCTTAGCATTCGCTGATACCCTAACAAGTCTAGATCAGTATGCTGTTCGTGAGTTTGCCAGGGCTTTCGAAGTCACTGTTCGTGCGTTGGCAGAAAATGCAGGCGAAAAGGTTGGTCGTTGTCTACTTTGATTGCCATGTTAGGCATCGAATTGTTCATTTCTTGTTTTTTTTCAAGCTGCTTACTCTTAGTATATGGTCGTCTTGTTCGATTCCATGCTTGACTTCGTTGGTTTGATTGTACCGACATTACCTCATCCGCCCACTGTCTGCATTTTTTCGTGCATTCTCTTTATCTCTGACAGGAGAACTGCACCGATACGCCAACAGTTCATGCCATCATCGGACAGCCACTTGGCTGTTGTGTTACCTCTGGTGGCCATATAACTGAGTATGTTACTTTGCGTATCATTAAGGCTCTTGTGGCTTTCCAGAGACTCAAATATCTATGGAGACGGCGAGTGATCAGCCTGCCAGTGAATGGACACTGGACGATTGGGTGTTCTTGATCACCGGTACTTGCGGAGGATTACTAACACCTAGTGGGAATACTTGGCTAACAATATTTCGTTTTGTTAGTTGCATTTTAACGAGAGGCTTCACCCGATTATTTGGTAAAGCTTAACGGCTTATGTTGGCTAGGTCATGTCACTCCTTATGCTCATGGACAGGCTTCCTCGGCTTGGATTATACGCTGTGACTGCACCAAGTGGCGCGAAATCATAAGGTGACCAGTCGATGTCGTCGTATGGCTGTTAGACTTGGTCAGGCTTGTCCGTGTCGTTTTCGTGGATGGAGGCGGTGGCCACTTACCCTGCTGACTCTTAATAATAACAAGTGAGCGAGCACCTTGAACACGACGCATAGCAGGCTGATCGCTCGATAATTGACGCAGGCTGTTCAGTCACCTTTTTGAAGAAAGCATGATTTACGCTAAGCTCCGTTCAGGCGAGATGACTTCCGTGATTGAGATCTCTTGATGGAGGAAATTTAGCTGACTGAGATATAGGCTTCCATCTCCAAATCAGGAGATTTGTGCCGTTTCAGAAGGCGAAACTCGTAGGAAACGTTATCTTCGAATGACGCAGAGGTGCTTGCACCTCAGGGAGCATCGTGGTTACCAGAATTGAAACTCGAGGGTCCATTAGGTCATTTGTGTTGCTTTTCGGAATTCTCCGTAAAACGCATAATCTGATGTGTTCTAATGTGAATTGGCTCGTCGTCGGTCTCACATGTCACTTTGCTTGCAGTTGGCTTTTTGTCACTCGCCGATCGGGTGTGAGATTAAGTTTATGGCAGTGCCTTGAGAATGCAGCTTTTTCCATCCCGATGACAAGCAGCATTCACCAAGCTTCGCGACCCTCCCTGCGAAGCTATTTGAACTCGGTATTCACAACTCTGCACAATGAATTGTATTCGACACTGGCAAATGATTGCTAGGCAAGCTTCCATATGTTGAACAGATACTGTGTAAATTCATTGATTGATGTGCCGGCTGAAAACACAGACGGTAGTTATGGGCTTGTACATTGCGCTCTTGATGTGTGTCCAATGTGCTTCGACCTTCGTGAATAGGGAACTCTTCAGATTACCGTTTGATGTGTCCTGAAAGTCACTTTGAATGTTGTAAGGGGCAAGTTTGGATTCCTTAAGCCGTTTCTGGTGACGCTGTTGTGTGCCACCGAGACGCAGAGCAACTTTGGCCCACACAAGCGCGTGATTTGATGTGAGACATGTACTCCAAATTGACGTGCAGTCCGTTATGCCAAGCGTAACTGATGGCGTTATTGTCGATCTGCATTCACGACTGTCCAGGTGAAGAGGGTCTCCGAAGGTTAGTGCTCAACAGCAATAAGCCGTGATCTGTACAGAGCTGTAGAAGTCAATCGCCGTTATCTGTAACCTAGCCATGCGGACCAACGAGATCGCGCTTATCGGCTTCGTGTCTACTAAACTATGGCTTTATGTCTCCGGTGAGTACCGCGATATCCGTGCACCGCTTTTGACAGAGATGGTCTGAGATTTGATGGTAGAACTCCCTAGCTGAGTGCGGACTACAATCCGTGAAAGCACATGGCACTACGACAAACAAACGGCGTTTATTAGCTTCTCCGCATCATTGTCCATCAAACGTTGGTTTTCGCACCATATCTGGCAAACTTAATTGTGATGCCACACTCAACGTTTTGCTTTATTTTCCAGATAATCATGGCTCGTCCTGCTGGCGGTCCAAAGCCACGTCAACCTGGGGCTCCCGACGAGGACTGATCTCTTGGAAATCAGTGAAACGCGTTATTGTATTCTCAAACTTGTTAAAATTATCTAAAATATAATGCACTGCTGGTCAGTCATTGCTTTTTCGGGAGTTTTGCTTTACTATACGTCGCATTGCACTGATCCTTAGTTTTCCTACGCTGCTTTTATGCACCATCGGCTGAGTACATAAAACACCATCTCCTGTACCCCTTCGACTTTTCAACATGTTTCGTCTTTTTTTCTTTTGGTTATAACCTGTGTCCGTGCTCGCATGCCATACATGCGCTGCATCGTACTCATTTTGTTGGTCTGGCAACCTGTTCGTTATAACTAGAACCACTGTCTCAAATGAAGAACCTCGATCGTTTGATCTGCGTTCTTTTTATGGGTTTCGGTGATCAATTTTATGACGATGGTCGATTTTCCTACTAGTGTTAATCCAAGTCAGTGCTCACGTTGCCCTCATCTTGGCGCGCTTCCTTGTTTTCATATCCTTTAAGATATCCGGAATCGCTTCGTTAATGTCAATGTCATATACACTTTAAAAGAGATTCGACATAATATTGCCGTGTTGAGACCAAGGCTTCTGGAGCCAGTTATCTTCCTTCATCTATGCTGAATAACGAAGATGCCTCTTTGTTGACTGAACCTGCTGCTCTATTCAACAGGGCTTGGTACACTGAATAGGCGCCTTCATATTGGTAATTTTCAATCTTCGTGGTCATTCCCAATGGACTTTGTGCGAAAACCATCAAGGCATTATCTTTCCAAACTTCTCACTGGTATCATTATTGGGTCTTAGAGTACCCGGCGTGTGTCTGCGTTTCGACACGCAATCTCGATTGGGGCTACAGTTTGCTTCCAAGCAAGCCCATGCCATTTCGATCACTGTGACCGCATCCGAAGTGGTAATTCTCATTATACACGTTAGCTGGAGGTGGAAAACACCTCAGCTGCTGTGCCGCGATACAAAAAAGAAAAATGACATGCAACAGATGCATACCAGCAAATCTACCAGTAACGTATTAGCATCGTTCCGAAAAGCTACCAGCCGGCTACTACTACTATTGTGTAACATTATATTATGCTAAGAAATGAGATCGTTAATGGAGTGGGTGGCTAAGCGAGAGGAAAGGGACAAAGAAACTCACAACACGAACGCCACTGAGCTTGGCTCCTAACCATGTCATCAAGTCTTTCCACCGAAACGCGTTCATCGCTTGGCCACCACTGCTCTTCCATCCACACCCACGGCGCGCAAACAACGCACGTTGCGGGAGCCGCTGGGATGGCATACGGAACACGTAGCCGAACCCTCGGAACCTGGTATGTGAAATAACGAAGTGAAGATTTTCAGAGCTGCTCCACAACAGCGCTTGATACGGTGCTGCCGTGGAGCTCTGGCCTAGTGACCAAGGCGAAAGCCGTCAATCACTGTGTTGGGCTCCCCTCTTAGCTCAAGCTACCTCTACCTGACGAGTCCAAATCAGGACGAAACCGGTCGGTCGTGGAGTGCAGTGTTAGGGGAAAGCAACTCTGAAATTCTCACTAGTATCATTCTTCTACGCAATACTGATCCCCATGAGAACCGAATCACAAAAGCTAAGCAGGATTTCTCTTTACTTGTGGTTAACTCGACTGTATATTTACTCTTTGGAGCAAAGCCAGAAGTCCAGACGACCGAAAACGGTGGTTTTTCTTGGCTTAAAAACAGCCTTCGATTCATTTGATCGAGCCATCTTGTGGCACTGCATATTCTTGAAGGGCGTGCCTGGGAAATTTTCCATAGTTAAGTCTACCGTGACTTCAGAGGCTGGATAGGAGTCTACGAGATGCTCTCCTATGTTCTCCACGACAAATGAGATTCACCAAGCTTACCTTAAATATGCTTTTTTCTTCTACTTTATGATCTAAATGACTCCGTCCCTTCAGACTCTGTAGTAGCCATTCTCAACGTGAGCCATGTGTCCCTCCGGTGGGCCCTGGGATGAGAAAATCTGTTAAGGGCTCCATAGGGGGCATGCTGTAAAAACTGTGTTGTGATAACACAAATAACAAAATTCATTTAAAAAATTTCTGACACTTTTTCTTTGAGCACTTATCTACTCTGTTAACTACTGGTCAGTGTAATGAATTACGCATGCGAAAGTGGCTGTTTACGAAAGTTTGAAACCCAGACCCGACAGGCTTTTTGTTACGGAGCTGATACAGTGAACCAACTGAGCTTTACTTTGGACACTGGTGCATCCACTGTGCAAGCTGCAATGATCCTACTGAACTCCGGTGAGAACGTTGCTGTAGTTACCGCACAAAGCCACACGAACAGTAACTGAGTTTTCTTCAGGACACTACCACTGTGTGTGTGCGCCGGTCAGTCTTCTTCCCTCGTTAGGTCTCACTGCGATAGCGTGACGTTGCACATGTTTCGTCTCCAGTCTCAGCTCACCTTTACATCTGGCGGCTAGGCCTCCTTAGTCCGCAACGTTCCCAATTCGTGTGGCAGCTCTGCGCGCGTGGCGTAATCTCCTTTTTTCTGACTAAGAGTCAAAATAACTATCGACTCGTTATAACGCTATCTTAGCATTCAATTCATCTGAAGTTTTCTAATTAGAGAGCAGTTTTGTCAACTTGCATCATACGGGTGGACATACGGTTTCTTTGGTTAGTACATATAACATAATGTGTACAGAAGGATCCTTCTAACACTCATACTAATCAAATGCCTTACCAGCACGCATTGGGCGCCATGTTTGGCAATAGCCGCTGTATCTTTTACTCTCGTTGACTCTCCCACGCCGGTTTCTTGAACTGTCCGGCTTTTTTCCCGTTTCTTTCTTCTGTCCTTTTCGTATCGCAGTTTGCTACAGCTCCTATAATGCATGTGTCCAGTGAGCACTGTCATTTTCTTAGTTCCATTCGTTTCATTCTCAATAATTATTGGTTTTTGTCAAGCTATCCTCTGAAACGACCTATGGGTTACTTCCAACAGTGTTTCTACACTTTTACATTTTAACATTGTAGCCATCGACAGATGTTATAAGTATGCTTACCAAATGTCTAATCTTATAATCTCACGGTCAAGCACACACACTGCGTGGTTCGCCTTTTCGAATGCCGTTGTTTAGTACCCATGAAGTAACTGAATAAGAAAATTAAAACAAATGCAGTAAATCCAGATTACATATTGTGTTTCCGCTGATAGTCGGGTTAATCGATACAGCCACTCTGGTCACGATACAGCCACTTTCCAAATCAGAAGACTAAGGCGGAAACTTGTATGGAGCACTCGGGAGACGGAATGTACAGCCAAAATATTGGGTCGAAATAAATAGTTCACAAGAGGAAAGACCTACTTGAAAGTTCCTGACTATAGCAACTACTAGATGCGCAAGAACTCGCTTATTGGCCGAGCAAGTAGTGTGGTTACTGGAGGGCTTCAAAGTAGGTCATTCTGATTGATCCACTTCAAGGTAAAATGATGCCATTGGCTTACTCCCATTGGTTAGCCAATCGGCTACAGGCGGCATACAACCAATCTTCTCCGGGCTGCTCCAGACAGAGAGAGCTAGCTTCGATGGCTGCTATGGACAGGCTCCGGTAACACCTCCCTCGCGAAAAGTGACGTACGACTTCCTCCTGGGGTCCAGCTGCATTCTGACCACGGACCTCCGTATCCGATCAGTCCATCGTCGTGGCTGCAAGCTCGTTTTTTGTGGTCACAGAGCAAGACTCAATAGGTGGTCCTGAGTTCCAGGGTGTATGTCGAAATTGTCCAGCAGAATATTCAGTTTTAGCGATCGTTGACTGGTTGATATCTGAATGCTGGTAGGCCGCAGCTGGTTTACATGTCTGGTCCAAATCATAGAATCCACTCGAACTTTATACAGCACTTGTCCGTCTGCAGTCGGTCGAACCTGTGGTCCAATGTGGTCTTCCAGGGCGATGGTCTCTGATTAAAACACTCTGTCCTGGGTAAAATAGATGTACTTGCGTCCTGTGCCGCTGATTGAAGTAATTTCCATTCGCACGTTCCTCTCTTGCGGAGTGATAAGCTTTGGAAGCGGCAAGGAATTCAGAGTACGGAGTTTCCTGCCCATGAGCGCTTCTGCTGAGGACAGCTGCTTTTGCACCTGGGGGTTCGGAGTTGATATGTACAGTAGAAGGCAAACATTCAATATCTCTTTGGTAGTTCCTTCCCACTCATCTTCAGCAACGTCCGTTTGAAGGTCTCAACAAAGCGCTCAGCTTGCCCATTTTACTGTGGATGGAACGGTGGCGAGCTTAGGTATGTGATACCGTTCTGCGTACAGTATTCGGCGAACTGCAAAGATGCAAACTGAGAGCCATTGTCAGTAACCAGGGTCTCTAGTATTCCATGTTGGGCGAAACGTCTTCACAGTACGCCAATGGTTGCGCCACTTGTTATGCGTTCCATGCAGAACACTTCCGGCCACTTACTGAAGGAATCAACAACGATGAGATACTGTTGTCCATTCACGGGACCAAAGCAATCCGCGTGTACTCCCTGCCGCGGTTTCGTTGACAACGGCCAAGAAGACAATTCCGCTTTCCTGGGCGCGTTGCTTACAAGCGCACATTTCGGACACGATTTCGCTAGCTTTTCCAGCTCTTATTCGATATTCGGCCAGTAAACGTAACTCCGCGCGATCACTTTCATTCTGTTATTGCAGGGTCTCCACGATGAAACGGTCGTAGAATTCTTTGGTGAAGCTCACTAGGGATAACCCCTTTCCGCCAAACGTAAACAACCATTGACGATGGATAGTTCGTCTTTTCTCCTTGGCAAGCTCTCCAATTCCCCACTTAGATTGTCTTTCGGCCACTGTGTAGTATGAACTCCGACCGTTTGTTGTAGGACAGGATCCCGCATTGATGCGTCACGTATCATTTCAAAAGTTACCGGATGTTCTCTGGGCGTTTCTAACAACACCTGATTCTCTTCCGACTCCAGAGAGATCGCTGCAATGGTAGATTCTTCTTGCTGGCGCTGC